GGGCCTGGCCTGAGGGGCCCCCTGGGATCCTCACAGGGAAGCTATATCTGGGAAGCCCCTGCCCAGACCCCTGTCTCAGGGCTCCTGACTCCAGTGACCTTGGGCAGCCTGTGCCAGGGTTAGATTTTGGCCACCTGGACAGGGTTGACTGGGAACAATGATTTCCTGGTTGCCCTAGTCCCAGGCTCCTGAGCTGGTCACCAGCCAGGGCTCAGCCCAAAGAGCCACAGCTGGGCAGGGGCGGAGCCTGATCCTTCACCTGAGACTTGGCATGGAGAGCGCAGATGGACAAGGTCCCCAGGCCATTAGCCAACTGCCCTGGGGGCGTAGGGGACTCCAGAGGATGGTCACCATCCACAGAGAGGAACGGAGGACAGAAGATGCTCCTGGCAGCTCCTCATCCACCAGGGACCAGGTACAGGGAGCTATCTCTCTAGAATGCCATTTATTTGGGCAGCTCCTCCGTACTAAGCTTTAGGGCAAGTATTTGGGGATGTTTTAAGGATAATTCACAGACAACATATTAATCCAGAGACCATTTACCTAATTTTATTTGGGGGAAACTGAGGCACAGGGAGAAACAGTCATTGAAACAGGGTCACATAGACTATGAGTGGCAGATCAGAGTCATGGCAAGATCTTAGTTCAGCCACAGCCCCGATCTCTCCACCACCTTGGGGGCCTTATGGATCAGATCAAACAGTTTCTTCTTAGAGATCCACAGCTCAAGGTAGATTTTCTGATCTGGAGAGTGACAGCAAATGGAGATTTAACTTGTTTTTACTCAAGAACCAAATTACCTGCATCAACAATCAGAGTCAATGCAGGGAAAATCCAGGCCGCCCCCTCAGGTGGCTGAACCACATCTCCCTGCACTGAACTTGAAATCACTTTGTTTCCTGATGTGTTGGTGTCATTCCCACTGGAGTACAAAGGGAAGGACTTTGCTTTCTCATTCCCCACTCTACACCTGCAACCAGCACAGGACCCAACAACTCAATTGCTCTTTCTGGAAGGAGGGAAGGAATGAATGGTGAATGAATGAATGATCCCTAACCTCTTCACAGACTGGAACCTGGGTTCAGAATCCTAGCTTATGACCACACTTGTTCTCTGTCTCTCCAGGGGCTGAGACCCATGTTCCATCCCTCTCACCACCAGCCCCTAATGCCACTCCGAGAAAAGAGTATCATGACTGTGGGGCTGCTCAGAAAATAGAAGAGTTTTTAAGGCCGTTCTGGCCCTGTCCCTGGGAGAGCCGTGGGCTCTTGGTGCCTAAGGTCTTTGATGTCACTGGTAACCCCCACTGCTCTGACCTTGGAGGTTTCTGGCTCTCTTTGCACATTCCGTGTCCCTCATCATCCTCCCCCTTCATTCCAGCTGGGACTGACCCTATTCTGCACAGCTTCTTCCACTCTTAAGCCTCCCCGAATTCTCCCACTAACACCTGTAG